TCATTCACACACACACACACAAACACACACACACACATACACTAACACACTTCCCTGGGACCCATGTCATCAGTCATAGACGCTCAAGAGCCAAGGTACTTCCTTTATAATATGTATTCAATAGTTTGTTGACTATAATTTAATAACATCTGCTCACCTAGTACAAAGCCATGGTGAGTACTATAATTAACTGGACACCCCAGTGAAAGAGAAGAGCTTTGTTTAAATTTCGTGTCTCTATTTAATTTTGCCATAGTTTGTTACGTTAGTGCAAGTATTACTTTGTTTTTACAATACAATTTAGGACTGGTGTAAAAGCCATACATTTATTTCTAAACTCATTTCTTCTTCATGGGACGGAGAGAGCTGGACTGCTACTACTAAACCGCAAGTCTCGAGTTCGAGTCAGTAGACCGTCCCTGAGCCCACCCAGCTCTGAGGGGTACCTAACTCATGTTCAGTGTTTCTTCCAGACTTTTTTCTCCGGGGGGTGGGGCGCGGGAGGTCAATATATTCCTGGGGGGGGGGGGGGGGCGGACATAGTGCTGACCACACTATCCATTCATATGCCGAGGCCACAGAAACAAGTGAACTCTACTTCACTTGCCCCATATACCGTCAGGTTTGAACGGGTACTTTACTTTACATTTCTTCCAACTTCAAATATTTTGACTTGTTATAATCGATGTTAAAATCGATGTGATTTTTCCCCTTTGAAGCCTTTCTCATTTCCTACAGTTCAAAGCCTACTCAGAACATAACAGAAATCAACAATAAGTCACATTTGAAACAACTGACAAACACATCTGTATTTTGATCTAATATATTTATTAGGTAAAATAAAAGGAGGGTAGAATATCACAACACTTGCAGTAATGTAAACATGGAAATATGTCAAGAGTTATTTCAACAAAATATCATGTTCCTGCTGAGAAATTTTTCAATGCTTTACTTTTCAAAATTCATATTATTTCTGGTGTCGTTTTGGTAAGACATGACCTTTTCTGGAAAACTCCAAGCGCTAAAGAAAAGACACGGAGCGAGAACTATGTAGACAGTATCAGAAGGGCGATACAACAAGGTGGGTTACCGCGGGTGGCAGTTAAAGAAATTTATTCAGGGTGATCGCCCTTTGCTAAGCTAGTTTATTTTACTTTTAAATTGCAGTTTTTCTTATAAACGCTACCACAATGGCAATATTTCTTGTAATATTATTACTAGAATAATATTTTTTGAAATGTTATCACTAAAGATTTTTTTGGTAATTTTCCCACTATACCATTTTAGTAATATTTCTAGTTATTACTTGTTATTTTATTACTATAAAATATTACTTATAACTTTACCACCAATATTTCTTGCTTTTTTACCACTATAACAATATCTCTTTTAGATTACCGCTATGGCTATTATTCTTGCTTTTTCACCACTAAAGCAATATTTCTTGTAATTTACTACTATATCAATATTTCCTCCTATTTTACCACTATAGCAATATGTCGTGGAATTTACTACTACAGTAATATTTCTAGTAATTCTACCTGTATGCTAAAACAATATTCATTTTAATTTTATTTATTTAAAAATACGTCGTGTAAAATAAAACTATATGAACATTTCTTGTAGATTCTAATAAGTTCTCTCCGGCATTAAGAGATGTAATTTATTAAAGAACGTAGTCATCGTGTTTACTCTCCGATATCTGCGTGTGGTTGTAAATGTGGTTTTAGCTAGGGATGTGGCTACTACGCTAGTACAAAAGTGCTAGTATGACATCCTCCGGGGTTTAGTCATGCATGTCATAACAATTTACATTCACAGGTCTATGCCTACACATCAAGAAACATAATGAGCAGGGCATTTTATACAAAATATCATTAAAAATACAAATAATTTAGTGAATGTTTTTTTCTTTTCAACCTTCATTTCCAAATAATTTATGGGTTTTGTCCCACTCTGCCCTCATTATTCTGACTAGCCACTTCTTAGATCCGCCTACATCAATAAAAACTAATTAATAATCAAGTAATTTAGTGATGAAAAATGGGTTCCCCGAGCGCAAAAGGAAAATTGCGCAACCGAAACCTACGCAAACAGAATAATGCGCGAAAACTACGCAAAAAGCGCAAATACAAAAAATTATAGTAATGCTCTTAAATTGTGCCAGATTTCATGGAACAATTTTTGATTTATTCTACACTGTACACCTGTTCATTCTTCTGCTGATCTATAAATTATCGATTGAAAGAAAAATAAATTCCCTTCCGCACTTTTTTTTTGTGCATAGTTTTCCATAGCGAAATTTTTTTCATTGCGCATCTTTCTGGCCACCGTAACAACTCTACCCTAGTCCAGGCAACAGATTTACAACAAAAAATGATTAGGATGTGATATAAATAGAACATGGATCTACCGACAACATACGCGTCTATTGCTTTATTATCTCTCTAATTAATTATGTACACGGCAGTAACAAGAGCAAGCAATACATTATGCGCATGCGCCCTGTACATTAATTTTATAAAAACTCTTCAAAGTTCTTTCTTCGTTTCTAGAAATATATTATTGTTGCTGGGGCGGGGAGGGTAAAAATTATCATATTCGATCTCCATTGTTTTTGCCTATTACTCTATGTGATTGTCGTATTTATACGAATGCCCGACTCTAAATTTATAGAGTTACTTTGCACAAATCTGTAGTAACTTGTCACAATAGTAAGCAAAATATGTAAAAAAATATATCACTTTTTAATATTGCATTTGATATTTAATTCATCTTTCTGCCGTAAAATGTCTGCTAGTTAGAAATTTTGGACTGATAACTACAGATTAAACAGAGATTAATGTCCAATGCGCTAAAAAATTTTTTCAATAAAATATTGTTTTTTGGAATAATTTGTGTTAAACATTTATATAAAGAATTGTGTCTTAAAAATTCATTACAAAAATATAATTATTTTTATAATTCTGAATTGTGCCAAGACGTTAAAAATGTTCTATTTTTCTGTTGTATAACCCGCGAGTATGAACGTACGTTTTTTCTTTTTGTTTGCTAAAGGAGTTTATCGATAAATAACCATTTCAAATTGCTGAATACACAATTTCGCCTCTATATGATAGTCAACACTATGTAACTACCCACATTTAGAAAACTACCGCATGTAATACATACAACTATATAATACACGTAGATAAAACAGGTGAATCAAAGTGAAGCAAGTATTGGAAAGTTATCAGAAGTGTGATAATATACGTATATATGTATATATATACGTAAATATGTACAATACATAGTAACATGAATTTGTACAGAAATAACACCAAAAAAAACAGATACATGTTTCTAGTCGGGTCCTATTGTACACAGAATGGTACTGTTCTGATAATCGTAACCTTATTTACAATACACTTAGATACATCTGTAAGTTGTAAATCTTGTATTAGACTTGGAAAATTATATTGTAGCACACGAGCTTAAGTATTGCTAATTGTTGCTGTGGATTCATACCACATAAGTATTACAAATTTTACAGCTATTATGTGACCTATAACAGCATCAACGATACTGTAGCCTACACCATTCGTTCTAAAATACAAAGCAGCAAAAAAAGGGTTTTTGATATTATCGTTCCTTTACCTCCTCCTAAAAACTAATGTTGCCAAACTTTGACCCCCACCCCATCCATCTTTCTTACACATACACCCTCGCTACGCATCTCTATGCATACAATAACGCTTCTTTATTTCCAACTAGAAATTAAAAACGAGTCCGTACTTTCACTAATATTTCCTGTAAAATTTAGATAGACTCTATTTCACCCAAGTCTAGCTCTAGCTATTTGATGTACAATTAATTAAAATTCGCAGAAATATATAAGTAGTAAGTGCAACAATTACTTGCAGCTACAGTATGAGACGCAATTTTGACGTATCATATACGTATAGAAAAGCTGTATCATATATTTAATCATCTCTACCGTTATAACCTGATAATTAATTATTGATGATTTCGTTTCTGACAGTGATAATTTAATTTCCGATTTTAGCGATGGAGAAGGGTGGCTATTTATAGAATGTTTTCATCTGACACCTTTTTCGGAAAAGGCAAAGAAAAACAAACATGTATTTTAAAATAAAAGCTTTATGCTTTTGGCAAAAAAAAAATCTTTTTTTTTTTACAAGATGCATTACAAATATAAACAATGTAGGCTAGCAAATTTTTTGTTTCGTTTTAAAACACAAAAACGGACATCACATATAAATAGAATAAGATCTATCGAAACACCTCTAAAAAGCTGTGCAATGCAATTAGCTCTAAAACATAAAGAATCCAATTAAATTGCAGTATTCTGTTGCTATAGTTTTTGCCATCTTGCGAGGGACCGGACGCGGGGCCATTACTGTTTTTACTCCCCTCCGAGGAGATTTTCTTAGCCGAAGCCGGCTCGCTGGGTTGCTTCCCCTTTTCTGGCGACACGGCAGGGGCCGTTACCGAGCTGACTCGGTAATTTCCGGTGACGAGCTCCGTGTTGACGTTCTCGCATTTGTCTAAAACGGTAAAGATGTTAGCGTCTCTCCCGCACGTTTTTCGCCCGGCTGCCGGCTTATTCACGCCGTGTGCCGGCTCCACGGTCAGATCGAGGTTGGGTTTGTTCCCTTTGCCTCGGCTCTCATCGCCGCCGTGCTTGCCGGGGTGCGTTGACGTCCGGTTCTGACCCGGCTCGGTTTTGTCTTTTCTCCTGTTCCCGTGATGCTTCGTGCCGTTGTGTTTCCCCGGCCTTGACCTTTGCGTCTCATCCGTCACCGTGTACACCTTCTCCGTCTTGTTCTCCCCGTACACCAACACCTCCCTCACCACGGTATTATCCTCCACCTTTAAATTCTCATCCGCCACCCCTTCAAAATCCTCCTCCCCTATTCTCCCCTCACTCCTCCCCACCCCCTTCCCCTCACCGTTATCATTCTGCTCCACCCTCAACCCCTTCCCCACCAAATCCTGCCCCTTCTCCGCTAACTGATTCAGGCGTTGCATCGCCTTAGGCTGGCCATCCCAGCCTTCGTCAAAGACCCCGATAGAGGCAATGACCCGAGAAGGTAGAGTACATGTAGCCGTGCAGGTAGGAGGCGCGGCTCAGGAGCACCAGCCACACCTGGTCGCCGGCCTCCATGTTCAAGATGGCGCTGTTGGAAGCGGAAGCCCAGACGGGGAAGCTCTCGGCCCAGATTGTGGACACCATCTTACCGTTGTTCAGCAGCTCCACTGCGGCCTGGGGGAGGGGGGAGGTCAAGAAAAATAGTTGAATAGTACATTAAAGAAAACAAGGTTAGTGATTTTGAATCCGGGTTCAACTCAGTAAAACGTCCCTGAGTTCACCCAGCTCTAATGGGTACCTAACTCACGTTATGTAAAAGTAAGGCGGTTAGCATAGTGCTGACCACACTAACCCTTCATATGTCGAGGTCACAGAAACATCTGACATGTGTCTTTGGCACGAACGGGAGAAGATGATAATATTATTAATAGTAGGATGAAGTCGAGTAAAGACGTTAAACTCTACTGCCCTCGTTAAAGTTTGGGGGAAGGGGTACTTTAGGATTTTTAATAAGTAGTTGCTCTTTCTGAATATAGGGTCCTTGTAGTAGAGGAAGTAGAGTTCACATGTTTCTGTGACCTTGGTACATGTACATATAGGGGTTACCGTGGTCAGTTCAATGCCCAGCCATCTGTACTATCAACAACGTGACTTAGGCGTCTATCAGAGCTTGGAGATACCCCAGAAGCGTGCTTTAGACTCGTACTCATTATTTAACAGCTTATATTTACAATCCAATGCTTTTTAACAATTGCTACTAGCTTTACAAAACAAAAATTGTATATCTTCATAAAGCATAGAAGCTTTGTATACTAAGACCTGCATAGCTCGAAACATGGAGTAGGTTTTGTCTTTGACACATTCATCGTATTTTAAAACAAGTTAATAAAAAGTCTAGTGACAATTTAAGCGCAATTTCCTTAATTAATTTTTTGTGACCGATCGAAAGGATATTTTTGAAAACTTTCTTCGGCAATATTGTTCTAAATTATGGCAGAAATCGATTGGTAAATGTTTCAAGTCGCTAAATGGTCTGGTTGCCGAGATATGGGCCAAAAACTGCATTTTTTCGAGGTTTTTTGGCTTTTCCGGGAAATCCAGGAAGGAATTCCGCATCCGTGGAACTTGCTTAACATATTTGCTTTTGGAACTAGTCGTCGATATTGCTTCGTTGAGGAGGAGATACGACTTAAAGCGCGGACACACATCCATCCATATACGAGTTAATAATCGCAATTGACAGTATGGAAATTGTGCTAAAAATTAGACCACTTAATTAATTGGTAGCTATTTTCATTTGTCTGTCATCCTTTGTGTATTGTATGAGTAGCTATATTAATCAAAACTCTAAAAAATTTTTACGATTCTGCGTGTCATCTCTGCGCGAGAGCCATGCTAATCTTCTCTGTATCGTTCCAATTTTATTGTATGTACTAACTCATTATACTGCGTGAACAATTATTTTTTTTTGCCTCAGGCATGTAATTTATATTGTCAGTTGTGTGTTCGCTTTAGTATTACAGTTTTCATCACCGGCTTGTGAGGACTGATACAGATTTACAATAGTAATATTTCTTTCTTACTTGTAGCCTACTTTCAACTCATTTAAGATGGTTTACTTATACATAGATCTAATACAAAAATAAAAATAAACCCAACCTGAAAATGCAAACGTGTAATTAAATGATGATTCAAGGGATTTTTTTCCCTTTGGCGTGATGGGTGAGGGGGGGTGGAATTTGGGTTTTTAATTAGAGCTGAAATTTTTGACTCCGCAGCTAAGGACTGAGCACAGTAAACTAAGCAGTCAAGAGAAACCGAGTTTGCACACTTTATTTTAGTCTAGTTCTTATGCTATTTTATTTTCTCCCTTTGATTATTGTATATACAATTGATGTTTATATCTTTGATGCTGTGTAAAACTATCAAACAAATTATTATTACTGATTTAAATGTTTAAAACAATTGAATTAACAAAAAAAAAAAAAACAATTGTTTGAGGACTGTAAAGATATAGATGTTTGAAAGGGAAAAATGTTTGATTTGATGTGTCTCGTTGTAATAACATAACTTTTCCGATTGCTTGAGAATTTTATCATTGTAATTCTCTGTAATCACAAATTAATTTCAGCTCTATTTAAAAACCCAAATTGCGTGAACAATATTATTTAAAGATCATTATTAGTAAAGCAATCAGTATCATAAATTTTCACATTTGGTTATTTTAACATTTCACTGAACAAATTATTTTCCGGTAGTATATTTATTATCTACTTTCAATTTTAAATACATTATGCTAAGTACATGCAAACGTTTTTTAAATTTAAAAATAAATAAATAACGTGGTAAAAATAACTGAGTAAAAAAAGAAAGCAAGGAGTCTAAACTCCTGCTGGACTAGTCGAAAGCAATTACAAAACATTTTACCCGTTGTCTCCCTTGGGCAGCTATGGTTACAGAGAAAGCGTAGGTTCCGTTGAAAGGGGCGGTAAATCTTCCCGTGTCCTTGTTGAAGGCCTCGCCCAGGTTTGTGACGACCTTGTCGAACACCAGGTCGACGTTCTTGTCCACGGGACCCGTGTTGCTGCTCAGGCCAGCGAAGAAGGCGACCCTGACTACATCATCGACGTCACGGCCGGCTGAAAGAGAGACTGTTCTGTTACCGTCAGCGGTTCTCACAGCTGTGGGCAGAGTTTCTTTCATGGCATTTTTTCAGTGGTGGGGGGGGAGGTGAAGAAATATAAATTTATATATGAAATATATTCTTCATCTAGTGTCGTCGTCGTCTTCCTCCCCCCTTTCGGAAATATGTCAGCACCCCCCCCCCCCCCCACACACACACACACACACCCACACCCAGACCACCGGCTGTAAGCAACAAGATCTTAACTGGCACAACCTCGGGGCTAATAGGAGGGATTATACCCAGCCTCCCTCACCCCCTCCCCACTCCCCACCTCCACTCCCATGGAGCCACAAAATTAAAAGTTGTCTAGCTTTAACTTACAGATATTGCATTCAATGTTTACAATTTAAAATCTTAAGTGTAGTAAGAACCAGTTTTCATCAGCAACAAAACAGATACCGCCTTAGTAAATTTACCCATTCCGTTATAAGTAGAGTTTATTGTAAACTTAATGTAAACTTAAGGCTATAGGTAGGGTTTATTGTATGCATACAATCTAAGTGGTTGAAACATTTGTTTATTAACTAGTCTTTTTCTCAATATAAAATAAAAACTATGAGTGGCACTTAGTGACATTTTCTTTAGACATCTTCGTGTGTAACAAGACCGAATCAGTTCACGGATTCCTCTGTTAGCCTGTATGTTTTAAAGGAACGTTCCACAATTCATTATTTAAATATACAATATCCGTTACTTCTAATCAAATAATTTTTTTTATAGAGACAGCGGATGTGTTATGGTAAAAAAGAGCAAGTTGCAACTTAGAAAAAAAAAGTTTTTTATTTTATCTTGATGAACGGTGTATATACAAGAAACCTTAAGATTTAGATAGAAAAGACCGTCTTATCATGAATAAAAACTTATTTGATTACAATATGTCATTAAATATTCAAAAACTTGAATACATCCCTTATGTATTGCTTTACGAGTACATGAGTTCCTATTAATAAACATTATTGGAGCGTTTTGGTGTTTTCTTCTGCTAATTAGTCTTTAGTATATAACTTATTGATACAATACCCATTACCTCGCCCATACGGAGTTCTTGGGGATGGTATGTTGGTCTACTCACAATCGCGGACATTGGTGATCTAGACAGTGGCGGCACTAGGATGGGTGTCACCCAGTACGGTAACAGTGGTTATACCCCCCCCCTCAACAAATTGTGTATGTTCGGTGTGGTGATGTTAAAACAGTTAACAAGCAAACATTGACACATGAAGGGTCATCCATACACTGTTTTTTTCAGGCATCTCTTTTTTTTTTTGGGGGGGGGGGGGGAGGGGGCTTGGTCCGAAGCATGACCCCCCACGCTCATCCCAAACGAAATAGAATTTATATAGAAAATATATTCTTTATATTTTACCAGAGCCCACCACCACCACAAATTTTATATAGAAAATATATACTTTTACCCCCACCGCAAAATTTAGTCCGCTCTCCAACCTTGAAAGCTTAAAGTGCCCACCCACCTACCCCCACCCAACGGAGAAAAAAGTCTGAAAAAACACAGAAACCATAATTGTGTGGCATCGAAAACAAGGGGAGCATATGACTTTAGCGATATTTATGATCCATGACGGGTCATCCATTTGTGGCACCAAACATAAAGAGGGTTTATGACTTTAGTTACACGAAATGAGGGAGGGATTAAAGCACTAATGAAGAATTTATTTGATATGATATCAAGAGCAACAGTGCTGAAAAACTAGTCTTGTTTACAGTAATTTAGTGGGTTGAACGAGACTTCGTGACGTCATATTCAATTGAAAGAGTCTGTCTTTGGTAATGTGAAGTGCTTGGAGGCTGGGTAAGGGGGCACAACAGTGCTTTATTTGCTTCAAATCTTCGCCATACTGGCTCTTAAAGAAAATAAAAGCAAACTTTAACTTACTGGCATTCCCTGGTAGGCCCGGGGGTCCTTGTTTACCGGGAAAGCCGGGGGTCCCTGGTTTTCCAGCGGGGCCCCGGGGTCCCCTGATGGGCAGACTGACGGGCTGGCTCTTGCCGTCTCGGCACGTGACCTCCAGCATGCACTGGTCGCCCTCCACGTCATCCTCGACCTGCGAGTCCCTCAGCTGCACGCGGTTCCGGTTGCGCCTGGGTGCGCGTGCCGATGACGTCATGGCCAGGGAGATGATGAGGATGGAGAGAAGGATGTTGGAGTCCTTGACCTTCATGGTGGTGCTCAGAATGTTGATTGTACGGGTCACTTGAGTTCAAGAAAAATTAACTGGAAAAACAATGTTTTATTGTTAGAGCAGTAATGAAATAGTAAACAAAGGAAATATCCGTAGTGTAAAAATAGCAAGTGGAAATTCATTTCCGTGTTACTGTTGATTTTCGGTTTTAGTTGTCAATTGAAGTAGAAATAATCTGTCAAATTCCGTGATATTATTTATATTTTCTTGAGCATCGGAAATAGTTCCAAAATTGTTCTAATTATTCGACCCTTACATGTAAAAGTTCTTTAATAGAACACATTTTTAACGGTAAAGTAATGTTCAATTTCAAGTAATTTTTGTCGATGTTCAATTTAATAAACGCTATGTTTTAAAATTTAAAAACTTTTTTTTTAAAATCTAAAATGAACTTTGTTTCGTTTTTGTCCCGTATTTAAAAAAAAAAAAGGTTTCAATTTGTCTTTAAGTAAAACCCGTCCTTTTCTGTACGTTTTATTTTAACCGCCGTTAATCCCGTTTAAAATAAAAACACAAACGACGAAAACATTCGAGTGTAAAAGCCCTTTCAGATACTACGAGACGGCTTTACGGCTTGGGAAATGATAACATAAGCCTATAATGAGAGGCCCATTCAGGGGGCCAGACATTTTGTGTGGTCTAATGACCGAACCTTGCCAATAACGCACAGCGTCTAATTACAGCTATTCAAGTTGAAGTGAAGACGTTAAATGTTCGGGACGGTTTTAGAGTTGCCGGCCGATTACGGCTGTCTTTTGAAGAGATTTATGGGGGGGGGGTTAGAAGTAGACGAAAATCTCTTCAGTAGACCTAATTCTTTTTTTTTCTATATATCTACGTACTACTATTTTACAACTTTTATGAAGCTCTCTTTTGAGTTAAACATTAATTATTTGTTTTATTATTTAATTTTTATGTATTATATATATATATATATAAATAAATATATATATATATATATATATATATATATATATATATATATATATATATATATATATATATAATATATATATATATATATGTATATATATATGTATATATATATATATATATACATATACATATATATATATATATAGTGTTTTGCCTTCCAACACCTCCCATACTATAATAAAGAAGATTAACAGATTGACTTTGTGACTTTGAAACGTCAGCTGTCAGTACTGAATTCCTGATCTAATGCTAAAGACCCCTTCAGGGTGACACTGATAAATTAGTGTTGACAATGACTGAACGCTCAACAGAGTGACCACATTGGCAAGCTGCCAGAAAAAGACAGAACGAAATCAACAAAATGAAAGAAAATTAAACCATGCTGCCAACAATATACGTAAAATTATACGTATATTTTTATTGATAAGTGCGTACGTGTAAAGATGGATTTTATTTAAAACCACAATCGTTTTATAAGCATGGTTTTATTTTTTAAACATAGTCCTTCAAATGATCTTGTTGATACAATAGTTAAAATAGCTTTAGCTTATTCCAAAAAAAATCGTGTAAAATGTTTAAATTGCAATTTAAATATTTGCTTTAAAGCTCGACAAAACCATGACAGAATTTTGAAACATACATTTGTATTATAAAACCTCATATATACGCAAATGTGCAGGAGATGTAGAGTTTGTCTGTATTCTTACTTTCTACGATCGTGTATGAAACAAAGCTCATCTGCCATTTTATTCCAAACAGTTGGCAATCATTGTGATTCCATAGCTGCAGTTATTTAATGCACCCAATTGTCATGTGATTTGTGCGCACTATTGCTCTACAATACCCACAGGATGCCGCCTTACAGACCTTAAAATAGGATTACATCCAAATTTATCTCAGAAAACTTTCTTGTAACAATAAATAAAATGTCGAGGTTATAAAATGAAATAATGCACAATGACTATTGAATATGCCTAAAAAAAATGTAATGTCCACATATAATTTCTTTATACTTGGGGAAGAAAAATTAAAGCAAAAGTTAAAGAGTTCTACAATTAGAGTCCGGATCTGATTAATCATTCTCATTTATTTTTTTTACGTTGGGCAATTCTCTGCTAATCAAAGCCAATTATAGATTTAAATAACCTCAAATTAAAAAAAAAAGAATGAAGAGCGATTATTGTGATTCCATGGCTCAGTTTAGAAGCACATATTACACAAAGGGGGAAGGGGGGTAACTGATGATCAAGGGGGAGAACTCGTGTGCGCAACGGCAAACAAAAGCTTATGTCATGAAAACCGCTAAGACTTTTGTCAACTCTATTTCAGTTTTTAATTACCCTTGGATCACAGTTACAGACAGAATCATGAGTCTGGGGTGAAGCGGGGTGGGGGGGGGGGGGGGGGGTGGGGGAGAGGATGGGAGAGGGAAGTGGGGCAGCTAGGGATTTGTGGGGAGGAGAAGGAGACAGAGGTGCGTGAGAGGAAAAGAGGGTGGGGGACTTGGGGCGAAGAGAAATGATTAGGGCTCTGTTGAGGTTCGGGGAGAAGGAAGAGAAAGGATGGGAGGTTAAAAGAGGATGAGAATGAGGAGAGAGCTTAGGGGGAAGAAATAGGAGGGGTAGCTATGGTGTGTGTTTGGAAGGTTAAGGAGGGAGGGCGTAGGAATGCGCAAGGAAGAGGAAGAGAGAGGAAAGGTACAGGGGCGGAAGAGAAAGGACGGGATGTTCAAGAGAAGATGAGAAGTGAGGGTGAAGGGAAGTAGGAGGGGCAGCTAAGAAGAAACAGAGAGAAAGACGAATAGGGACGGGCGGACTTGGAAAGTTAAGGAGGGAGGGTGTGAAGGGAGGGCGTAGGAATGCGCAGGGAAGAGGAAGAGAGAGGGAAAGAACGGGAAAGAACGGAGGGGGGAGATGAGTAATTTTTAGCAATATTGAGTAACATAGTAAAGGGCACATATTGTTCAATATCTTCTTTGTTTTAAACGTTTGCTGAAATTGTGTAATGACTTTCATTTTCGTTTTCATTACTTTCTCGTATATACGAAGTATAGAGAAAGTATTGTAATCGTGCACAAAAATCTCTTGAAATTTTAACATCTTTCACCGTATTACACCTCAGTCCTTCATCACATCCGAAGTTTAGAGGACTTATTTTAATCGGGCAAAAATTATCAATCCAGATTTATCAAAACTAAGAGGTTTTATGCGTAATCCAGTCTGAAAAACTGGGCTTTGCAATTCTGTCCGTATGTCTGTGTGTCTGTGTGTGTGTGTGTCCGTGTGTAAACACGATAACTTGAGTACCGTTACAGCTAGGTTGATGAAATTTCATATATAAGTATTTTATCAAAATCGTAGATCCGTATCAACTTTTGAGCGATTTTCAATAACCGGAAGTGGTACTTTTTCTACTTTGAATTTTTCAAAAGCCTATAACTTGAGTACTATTTCAGATAGATAAATGAAATTCCACAAGTAAGTATAAGATCTAATTCTCTACCTTATGTTAAATTTTGAGTAGCTTCCGTTGACCGGAAGTAGTAATTTACGCTACTTCCGATTTCTCAAAAAACTAATGTAAATTTATTAAGTACTAATACTATTGCGCACTATTATACACACCTTTATTAGGCGTTCGCTTGGTGCGCAATTGTTTTTTACTGAGATTCTATTCTATTTTTAAAAGTTTAAGTATTTAAAATGGATTAAAAATCATAACTATATCCCCAGTTACCATCCCCTGTTGTTTTATATAAGAATATTCGAGAAAGTTTAGGGGAGATCACTACCGGTTTATTTTTTTTTGTTCTTTTACCAATAATAGTATTTAGTTTTACATGTGTAAGTGGGGGGTTGTTGCATAATCCTTATCCTGCCCCACCCCTCATACGTTAATGCATGTGCATGTAGAGAAACCTCCCCCCCCCCACCCCTAATCCTTCTTCTAACTAACATGATTCCAATCTCAACAACGCTCTTACCACTAAGCCACACTTAACGACCATTCTCCTATACACCGCACTGTCAGTAAGATGATCCCTTAAAACAATTGAGCTGCTCCCTACCATAATGATGCCATTACAGGTCACAGAACGGAACTCAGCTCACAAAATATGGACTGAAGCAAAGCACGGTGGAATCTACCTACACGATATACCCTGTAGTTATAAACAGCGACGCTATTGATACTTCAGTAGTTCTTAACCTTTTTGGGGGTACCGAACCCCACCCGTTTCAAATGCGGATTCACCGGATCCTTCTTCTTAACAGTTTTATCGTCCGCACTGAAAAAATCCGATCGTGAATCTTAGGAGTTGGGGGAGTGTCTTGACCTGCGCCGATCCCATGTGACTAATTCACCAAACACTGGGGTTCGATCGAACACAGTTTAAGAACTACTGGTTTACAGTTTGTTGACCGCCTATGCTTTTGTTAATTTTATCTGTAAATAATTTGACATAAAGCACCCACATATATTTTATTTTAAATTAAGCTTGAAAAATGTTTACAATAAAAAGCTTTAAATATATGCGCTAAAAAAGCAAAATAAAAGGATTTTCTTTGGATAAGTATTAATGGATAACTAGTTAAGTAAATTATGTGTAAAAAGGCAAATCAAGTGCCCCCTCTTTAAAGGGATGGGGGAGTGGGGGTACTTGAAACTTCAAAGTGAGGGGGGGGTGTTAAATGATAGAAGTATATTTTTTTTTCTATATCGGGAGAGGTGGGGGCACTGGAACTGCTGGGGAAAGGAGGGGTGTGGTTGGGTCTGATACCCTAAAGAAACTATGTGCGGGTGAATTTGAATCGAACCCAGATTCGAAATCGCGACTTTCAGGTTAACAGTCTAACGCTCTACCGCTAGGCTATTCCGTAAAAGCAGTACAGAATATGTTATTTAATTGTTGTTGTTTTTTTTTTTTAAATTAACGTAAACTGGGGTTTAAAAATTTTCGAAATTGGGACGCTGGGATTTTATTTTTAATAAAAAATTTTTTTTGTTAATTGGATTTGAGTTTAAACTTTCAGTATGTAAAATTCACGTTTACAGTTTAAATTCACATATACAATTCATGTTCATATATACAAATGTA